TTTTTACTACTTCCGTTGATTTTTTAGTAATTATATTTGTGATTTTCTTCCCCATTTCTGATTATAATGACCTTTCTAGGCTAGAGTACATTTATTTCTATAGCTTATATTATTTGTCAATGGGGATACCAAATATAACAACGTTGTTATTTTATTTTTCATGCATTGCATCAAGATTAGAAAAGCCACGAATTACGATGATTTAAGTAACGAATGTGACCAGACGAACAATGAACCGGCTGCTTTAATTAAGTCTTTCAAGGGGAATGATACCACTTTGGGCACTAATATTGCATCGCAATCTACCTCCCGTACTACAAAGAGACCTGCCGAAAAAATAACGAATTCGCAATTAAATTTCCAAGTATCTGAAGGTCGCCACAATCCGCCTCTATTGTCTTCTATTAAGCGCCGCCGTCTCGATCATGAGCCCAGTTTGAATCAAAAATCCCATTCTACTAAGCACGTTGAGCCCGCACGAGTTTTGTGCACTAACACTTCCTCGCGAGAATCTCGCTTTAGTACATTTAACCCACAACATCTTCACCAAGAGCCTCTACATGTTAAACTATTGCATCGCTCGTCCTGCTCCCCTCCGCATCACATTGATAAGCAACGGCGACTCCATATGCCTCTTCAAGCCAAACAGACGAGCTACGTACCTCACAAGCATTTGTGCAAAAAGGCCTGTGAAAAGCGGTGCCCCCCAATTACATCTCATCGTGATATTGTTACCTCTAATCCAGAGCTACCTAAATCTCCTGTTGTTTCTAGTCAGCATTCATCGGTACGCGAGCTCGCTACCGGTCCTTTTCGTCACGGAGTTAATGCCATTTCATACTCAGGTCGCGCAAGTGACGCGTTAAGCCGACACACAAATCTAGGTTATACTTCCAGAATTGGTAGTGTCTCGCGGGCCACTGACAACACTCGAAGCATGCAAAGTACCTATCAGGGTCCTCCTACTTTCAAGTTCCCTGAATCTAATATGCGGTCAGGTTAGTTATTGACTTATTTTCAACTGTTTTTAATTGTCTACGGCATTGCTTGCATTATTTATCTATCTGATATGCAATTTTAACTTTAATGTATTATTAACTAGGGTCATATACATCTTATCTAACAGAAAATGTTTTTTGTCCTTAATTTATATGCGAATATCATTTAGGGGGTTTAGTCATTTGTATCACTTGCTGCTAACAAGTAGCT